GGGCCCGGCCGCCAGGGGGCGCCGGCGGCTTCCGGCGGCAGCGGTGGGCGGTGCCTCGCTGCCGCCGCGCGAACGCTCCCCGCGCGCCGCCGGGGGCGATGGCGGCGCCGCTGCCGTTGTCTGTGCCCTTGTCCCTATCCCTATCCCTGCCCGCGGCGGCGCTAGCGACCCTCACCACCCTCCTGCCCGTCCTGGTGAGAACCGCGCACCGCGGTCACGGCAGGCCCGGGGGGCTCCGTGGCGGGGGCGGTGCGCGGGGCCGCCCCGTGCCTGCCCCCCACCATGCGGAGCGGGGCCACTGCCCGCGGGTCGCGGTCCTGCCAGGGGGTCCCGGGGGGCTGCAGCGGGCCCGGGCAGGACTGGCCCTGGAGCAGCAGGTGGCACCTGGAGCCGTGCGGGCAGCAGCTGGCGGGGCTGCGCTGGTGCGGGGGTTGGTGCAGGCAAGGCGTCCGGGGACCTGCGGAGGGGATAAAGACGCCTTGGGAAATGTCCTGGTAACGCCCGCTCGCGGTAACCATTTGGGAAATCGCTGTGTCTCTGCGTGGCTGAAATACCCTGCAAGTTGCAGAAATTGGACACACTGGAAGGTGGAATTCTGCTGCCTGTCCGCAGTGCCACGTATGCCTCCTGCCCGGGGAGGTGTTGGAGTCCTCCTGTCCACGTATGCCTCCTGTCCCTGGAGGTGTTTCCTGGACGTGGCACTCAGTGCCATGGTGTAGTTGACATGGTGGTGTTCGGTTGTAGGTTGGACTCGATGATCTCAGAGGTATTTTCCAACCTAATTGATTCTGTGATTCTGTGTGTGGTGTTACCAAATAAAGTGCTCCAAACCCCAGTTCCATGGCTTTATTTTAGCTATTCATAAGGTCATCAGAGCCTCTTGTTTTGCAAGCACATGGCTGGCTGGTCATCAGCCAAGGCCTTGATTTCAGTGGCGCAGAGTGGGATCAGGGGCCGCACCAGTTTGTGTGCTTGGGATTACTTGGGGAAGGGGCTGTGTGCGCTTGGACCACAACTTTGGAGGCATCTGCATGCTTTGCAGTCAAAAATAGTAACAAACCAATGATGCTGACAGTGGTCAGACTAGGAGTAACCAAACGACATGAGAGGATTTTAGTCCTGTGTGATTCAATCAGTGGATGAAGTTCCACAGCATTGACCCACCTCATTATTGAAATACATTTGGTTGCCCTTGTAGCACATTCAACAGCTAGGTCAACTTCTAATAGAATGCTCAACAACTTTTCTTATTTCTTTTTCATCATAGATTTGTGCAGTTGCTTATGTAACTCCCAAAAAAATGTCAACCCTTCACCGACGCAAAGAAGAGAAATTCTTCGTAAGCACTGAAGGCAGGAAAGAACCTGTATGAAGTACACATGATCCCCCTACAAGGGAACTCTGTTGTGGTGCCTTCATATGATGAAGAAGACTGGTGTAAGATTTTTCTTGTTTTGAGGAAAAGAAGAAAATCTGTCTGTTGTTACTGTAATAATGCAGAGGTCAGTTATGTTTGGGGTAGATTCTGGCAGGCCAGATTATGTATCAGATTTTGGACACAATTTCCAGAAAACAGTCCAATTACATTGAATTTCAAAATTAAGTCATTGTATAACTTGATTTCTGCTGCAAAAAATAGCATGGGGCACTTGTAACTACGAGTCCTCTATTTTAATGGACCCCAGAAGAATGGTTGTTCATTGCTCCTGTAAATGCTGCAAGGCAAGAAGTAAAAAAAAAGACTTTTAAAACTGATTTGAGAGCTTTCCACCCTTTAAACAGCAGCAGCTTCAGACGAGCAGAAAAAAGGATGATCTCACAGGTTCGTGTTTGACATGGCCATAGATACGAGTACCTGATACTGAGTGAAGGCTTTCAGATGTGATAGAAATAATCAAACATGGTAGTACAGAAGCTGTCAGCTTGCTTAAGTAGATAAAGTCAGTGCTGGTTTTCAAGGTCAGTCATGAAGAATGATTTCTTTTTCTTTTAATCTTGTGTAGAGAATTACAAATTTCAAAATGAAAAATTGGTTCCTCAGAAGAAATATTTTTATCGTGCCTTTTATCATGTGCATGATTTTCTTCAGTGTTCTTTCTGCATTCAGAAAGGACAGAACTTTGAGTTGCAGCTGCTAAGCTTGTTTGCTGAAGGTAGTGTCGTATGAAAGAGTCGATTTGCTCAGCTTTGCTTTGTGGTTGTTCACAGCTTGCTTGTCCAAGTGCTTCTGGTGCTTTACCTGTTGTAATCTACTAACCTGACCTCCTCCACCTTTTCTCTAGTACCTCTTATGATGGATGAAGCTTTGGATTATCTAGAAAAAAGACAGGTATTTTCTTTTTGCATTCAAAATTCATTATATTTTGGTGTATTATGTATAATAAACAGTGATCTAGTTACTTTGTTATGTTGGTGTATATTAAACAGTAATACTTGGCTACTTAGAAGTAACACTTCGGTCCCTTATCAGTTATTTTTAGATCAATTGCAAAAAAAGTATTTTTAAATTAAGTAAAAATTTAATATAATGCTATGGGATGAAAAAATCTTCATGTGAATGTTATCTTTCCAAGACAAAGCTAAAGATTAGCCATACATTTAACTTTCTAAAATAAATACTTGTTTGTTCCAACAAGTTTCTTAAGTATCTGTTCTTCATTATGATTTGTTCTCTGGGTAAGAAGCCCATTGCGAAAGTTTGAGGATTTGTTCTTTTTGGGTTTTCTCAACAGTGATAATGTTCCGAGTGTTCATCTTTTACAACTGAATTGATTTTTCAGTTCTGGATGGTAGCGTGACAACCCAGTGTAATGGTACATTCATCAAGTATGGCAAAATTCTTTAATTATGCCATGTTAACAAATTTACTGTATCATATTAGTGTCAGTTGGCAACTATGAATGATTTAAAACCTGCTGGAGAGAAAAGAATAATGATGTTTGAAAGACCTACTACCTACTTAAGAAATTGGATTAAATATATTATTTCTGCTTTTATTTTCAAGAAGCGAGACTTATGAAGTCATAGTGGTTAATGATGGCAGTAAAGATCAAACTACAAAGGTAAGAAAAACAATTGTCTTCCCAAGCAATCAGAGGTGTGGCATTTTGTACTATGTTTGTGGAATGTAACAGTTTTTTGCATTTATATTTTGGTACTTGAAATAGTTGACAATTCAAGTTCATATTTCTGAGTGCTTTCTGTCATTGTTCTTTATGCATCATGGATGTCACGTATGCAGATGAATACACATATAATTCTTTTGCAAATTCTAGTTTTCTTGGTTGGCAAATGTGACAGCCATTTTCCTGCAGCTGAGATTCTCAGAATTCTAATCCTAACTTCAAGAAATTTCTTACAAAATACTCTATGTATGCATAGGGATGATGTGAATATGAACTTGAGGAAGCTAAAAAGTCTTTTAAAATACCCAATTCATACTATGATTGACAGAACATCTGACATAGTTCTTCTTCACACTCTTCCTGGCATTGTTGATTTAAAAATCCCTGTGTCAGTAGAAGTATTTTCAAAACAGTTTTGTATTCTTGTGGTTCAGCTTTGATGTATGTCACTGGAAAGGAAGGCTCGCTAACTTGAGGGCTTTTTTTACTACTGCTTGGAAGATGTTTGAGGTAGCTACTAAAATGCATACTGCTTTTTGATTTACTTTCCTTAAGTTTGTCCATTAAGGATTGCTCGTAAATATTTTTGACTACTGTGCATTCCTTCTGGCACCTCTTTTAACTGAGCATACAACGGCTGGACTTACAAGCACTCAAGACAACCTTTAGAAAAAATTAAGATGAGAAAACTCATGCTTTCTCTTCCTCACAGCATGGAACAAAATCTGCAGATTTTTGCAGTGTGAATGGGATTTTAGATCAATGTGAATTTTTCTTTAAAACCACAAACAGCAGCAAGACAAGTGATAAATAGGTGACTGTAGTAGAAAATTATATTTCTTTTATTAACTATTGGTGTTAATATAAAAGGTCTGTAATAGTATAAGTTAAATTAAGTTTGAGGTTTTTGGAGGTGGGAGGATGGGGTTTGGAGTATCCTGTTCTTTTGAACATGACTAGTTTCTTCAGTCTTCTTGTTTTGACTGTGAACTGGTTTTTATTTTCCCGAACAGACTCCAGCGAACACTGGCAATGTATTTGTGCTGACTGAAGTGGTTATACCTCTGTGCTGTTAATTTATTTTCTTTTAAAGGGTGAGCAAATGTAAACTTCTACTTTGACTCCTGGGTTTGTTTTATGGTGGTTTTTTTGTGTGTCTGTCAGGTTGCAATGGAGTACTGCAAGAAATATGGAAGTGACAAAGTGTAAGTGCTTTCTTCGGTAAAAAATCAAGGGAAAGGAGGAGCAGTCAGCATGGTAATAGATACTTTCATCTCCTTCTCTGTTTGAACCACCAAATATGCAGAAGATAGGCTTGTTCTGATTGACATTTTGAATTCAATGCATTAACAAAATGATTATGAGAAAACTGAGTACAGATTCTATAAATTAAAGCAAAACCTGTTTTTCAAAATAAGCTTATTTGAGATCTTGGAAACAGTATTATCTTGCCAGGAAGATCAATAATGAAGACATTTTTTTGCATGAGATTTCAAAGGGAAAAAAAAAACCTTGAATTTCATATTCATGTTAGTTCCACTTAGAAATAGACTTGTGTTTATAAAAGACAACCAAGAAAAAAAAAACAACAACCAAACTGTTACAGATTAAAGTTAAGTTTTTGTAGACAAAATACAGCCAAATTTGCAAACTTTGTTCTTCAGGACATAGATGTGTTTTTTAAAATGGCTAATAAAGAAGCATTCTCATCCAGCAAAGTTTGTTTTTACTGAAGCCCACTGTCATCACCCACACTCGATAGCAGAAACAGCACAGTTTATGCTTTCACATAGACATTATCCTCAAATCTTGTTGTCCTAAAAATAAAACAGCTGTTACACATTTTGAGGGAATATTTTTTCCTAAGATGAATAACACTTTCCTTTTACGAAAAGGAAAGTATTATCTGTGAGTTATCAGTGACTTGTCTTTATCTGTATTTTATGCTCTATCTTTAATGTGTCAATTTTATTTTTTTATGAAAAATGAATAAATATAGGAAATGGAGAGAACATTATATTAGAACATATGGAACTTTTGTAAGGTATATACTTCTGAAGTTATTTCAAGAGATGGAGAAAATCCTCTGTGTGATACACTTTTGCAGTGCCGAGTGTAGAGTGGATGTGTATACAACTACTTCCTTGACAGGGTTTTCCAAACTCACACATGCTTCGTTGTGACAGTACTTCGGTCAAACCCACTGCTAATTGTTTTCCTGTCTGGACCCCTTCAAAAATTGTGAAATTTTCCTGACCAAGGATATAGCAAAACAAGCTGTGAGACCTGTGCATCACAAACGTTTTGCAGTGAGACTGTGACTTAAGACTGAATCTTAAATTAGTTTTGAGAAATAGCTCTTGAATTCTCTTGAAACAGTGTTGGGAAAAACTACCTCTGCATCCTCCTTTCCATAGCTGAAATGACAAAGAAAAGCCATTCAGTGCAGTGGCAGCTGCTAATCACTGCTTCTTTTGCTCCCTTCTACAGCTGACTGTAGCAACTTGTTGACTTTTAGATTTTGGTTTGTGAAGCTTTTAGTTTGGAACCTTCTCTTCAGAGGGATTGTTAGCCTTTTGTGCTCATGCATTGTGTATCACTGTGGGACACCACACAGTGTGTAAAGTCTCTAGATGTTATTATAGGTTGGTAAATTGTGGTTAGTAGCAGAATATTAAGACTCACTTGTGTTGAATCTGTGAGATATCACTGTTCTTGTTACTACATTAGGTTTTTGGAGTCTTTTGCATCTAGCTTATGACAAATACTAATTTCAAAAGTGTTGATTTTTATTGACTATTTTCATTGGAGGGTGTCTTTAGTTCTCGGGGGAAAAAAATTCTTATGGCTGATGCAGATGGAGCTACAAAATTTGCAGATACTGAAAAAGTAGAAGAAGGTCTAAAAAATCTCCAGCCATGACCTGTGAGTATAAATTCTCATGGCTTTAGTTTAATACACATGCACAGAGATTGACCTTTGTAATTCTCTTCAACTTTTTTGAAATCCAGCTGAAGATGTAGGTGTAAGTCTGAAGACCTAAGTGTAAGCTTAGAAGCTTCAAGAATGGGCGGTCAGAAAGAACTTCCACAGAGTTCTTAACTGCTTTGCATCCAGTGGACCTACTTTAAATGCAGTACAGAATGCTCTATTTATTCTTCCTTTAACTTCTTTGAAGTTGTTCTGTTCTGTATAAATACCATGTGTTGCCTACTTAGTTTTCTTTGTTAACTGTTTTGTATTTTCATTTTATCTGATGTCATCCTGTATACCTTTAAGGATGCATCTTAATTTCACCTTCTTTTAAAGAGGTTTTCTTTTCTCAGGGTCCTTAGTTAAATGACAGTGTTTGGAAGAACTTTTATTGTAAATAAAAATTCAAAAACCTGTGGAACAAGAACACCTCCCTGGATAGTCATTCTTTTTTGAGAGCTTGACTTGAAAGAACTGAGGTTTATTTTCTGCTTAAACACATATGAGTGAGGTACTTGTAGCTAGTTTCCCAAAGTGCCAGAAGTGATGTGCAGGCTTCCAGCCAGAGCTGCAAGGGATGTACCTGTGGAATGAGTCATAGTCTGTGAGTTCAGAAGCACAAGTACAGGAGCCAACAGGCAGCAGTGTGACCCTGATGCTTTTTGCTACGAGGGCAGCAGCAGCTGTAGATTTGAGAGATTTTATGTGAGAAACAGTAGCACGAGAACAATGCTAAACTTTTCGTTTTCATTGCATTTATTTCATTTGAGGTTATATGTTTTTCTAACACCATGGCATTTTATTTGTTTGAAGGTACATCAGTGCAACAAGTACTTCATTCTGTTACCCTTCCATTGCACAATATTTAAGGAAAACATTCAGTTCCTAGGAATGCTGCATGCTTATCTGTGCTGTTAAACATATATACTGTATTCCTACAGTAAGCAGTGTAAGCTAAACCAAACCTGAATAAATTGAAGTAATTTGTATGCGCCATATACAAACTGTAACAAACTTCAGATTATCTGTAAACTGTAGAAAAGACTGATTTAGGCTCAGAATTTAGCAGTAGAAGAAGTGCAGCTAGAAGAAGCAGAAAAGTATATACTTTGAGGTTTTATATGGTTCTCAATACAAGATTCCACTGATTCTGAAATACTAGTTTAAGTGTTTCAGAATACTAGTTTAATTTATATTCCTATACAGAACCAGATGGCTATTTCCTGTGGTTCTAGAGCTTATCTACTCTACAGATTTTGCAATTAAAGAATCAATATTTGTAAAAGAATGGAAGCTAAAAATAAGGAAAATATTGTCATAAGTGTAGATTGTGATCCATCACGTACAAAGGATGTGTTCTGGATTTCAGGCACTTTGTACTTGTTTCAGTCAGTGTTCCAATTTATGGATTTAATTTTTTGAGTTCAGAACATGTCACGAACAGAGCCTCTAAACCCTGATAAAATTGGTAACTAGTAACCAGTACTGGGGCTAGAGTGGAAGGAAAATGAGTTCATTTATTACTGATTCCCTTCCAGTGCAAGAGCTTGACCTGCAGATCTTGAAACCTGTTTAAAGTGATTTAAGGATAATTAGCAGCCAACTGTTTAAAGAGTATCTCAATTCTTGGTAAAGTGGTGTAATTTTTCTGTATTACTCATTGTAAAATTTCTGAGTTTTGAACACACAGACAGTACTGTTCTGTGTGTGGCTCTTGTGGAATAAACAGTGATGCATAGGCACATGACCTTATCTTGCATCTGGTTTTCTGATGTCTTGGCAGAGAGTAGTTGACAAAGTACAGGCATGGGACTTGTATTGCAACAGACACGTTGCTGGGCTCATTTTTTCAGCATCATTGGATGTGCTCATCATGTTGAATGTTTTCAGGAGTAAGGTTTGTTTATACTGATGCTTAATACTTGAAATAATTCTAAAATATATACACAACTGCTAAAATAGTTACAAAAGTTCGAAGCAAGATACACTGATAATGTTCAGAAATTTGAACCCAGGAAAAATGCTTCATTGTATGATCAGGTACCGAACGCAGATAAACTTTCTTCAGTGCACTCATACTTCTTTTCATCTTCGAAGGTCTTGCTACATAGGGGAGAGGACTTTTATCTTTTCATACAAAAGTACAATTTTTAGGATGTGTCTGTGCTCTGTTTCCTGTTTCTCCACGTATTTCTGATTTTAATAAAGGAATCACCAACTGATTGGGTAGAACTGATTTGTTTGAAATATGTAGCCCATTTCATTTCGTCATCCAGCTGTCCCTAGTCTGAAACAAAAATACAGAAAGACTACTACAGTGGGAAGAAAATACCCATTCTGTAGCGCAATAGGTATAAAACAGTTGCAGAACAGTCTTTTAGATGTTGGGATGTCTCTCTCTACTTAGTGGCATCTAAAACAGTAGAATGAAGCTGTGATAAGCAGCTGTATAGGATTTATTGAGACCAGAATTTCACCTTAAATTCAGTCTGAAGACATCAAGAATTCTGTTCTGCCTCCAGAATTGTTAATGTACTTTAATGAATCTAAAATATGACAGGTATAAATAGTCTTATGAGTGATAATCATAACCCAGGAACACCTTTTTGTGAAGTGCACAGTTTCACTGTCTGACAATCATGCAGCCTCTTAGTGCTTCCCTTTTGGCACTAGTGGCAGCCTTGTGTTCTTGGTCACAGAGCCAAAGAAACCACACCAGATCCACCATTAACCTGGGACTGGAGCACTTTTTGAAAGGCACAACCTATGGATTTTAATTTAAGCCAAAGGCTGTTGCATAATAAGCTGAGCATCTTCTCATTTTTCAAGTGAGGTTCTATATTGTTAGGTTTGAAGGCATCTCTTTTCACCCAGAGATGCTTACCAGTTAAATTGATGGCTCCTAAAGATTTTACATGATACTTAGTTTGCAGTCTTAGATACAATCGCTTAAATTGAGCTTAAGACCAGCAGCGAGTTCAGAAGTGATTTGTAGATCAGAGTTCTGGTTGTTTAGGAACTGTCTTGAATAAAAGACTAAGAGCGACCTCTGCAAATCCAAACTTCAGCCTCTGGAGTCCACGGACAAACTTATCTGCATGATTATTGCATCAAGAACAAAAATGTAACCAAAGAGTAGGCTGGGAGAACACTTACCAGGAACATAAAATATATCTCTGAAAGCAAAAGAACAAAAGAGATGACTGTGTAACATTGCTGGAAATATAAAATGAAACATTATCTTGCACAGTAGCCTTTACTTAAGACCTGATTTTTACTTGGTCCATCGTATACTGCAAAAAGGTGCATTCTCCAGTTGCATTTCTTAAGTGCCTTAACGTGGTGTGTGCAAGCTCTGGAGATCATTCAGTCTTGAATGAAAGAAGTTGGGTGGTAAATAACAGGAGATGCTCCCATCTGAGTTTTTTAATAATTAAAAACTTTTTCAATTTTTGTGTTGGACTAGCAGCTCGAACCTGTTTAGTTTAAACCTGTTTAGTGTATTCTTAAGAGTAGCACTTTATGGTGTCCTGCTGGCTTATTGTCTGTCTTGGTAACTTTTGAATTTATTGCATCTGTTCAGCCAATTTTTAGAAAAACAAGAGGACTAGACAGAGGGAAAAAATAGCTTATAAGTGTCCAGTGAAGTACAGTGTGTAACATGCCATGCTCTTCCTCCTTTACTCTTCTTTTCCTTGCGGAATTCCCAAAGAATCGTGCAGAAGATACTGTGGTCTTCCCACTCATTATTTGAAATCCAGGTGCAGATTCCTGCTTTACTTAATAAAGCATTTTTCCAAGTGAAAAACTGCTGTGAATTGGGGAAAGAAGAAAAAAGAACTTGGGACTTCCCTTATCCTAGGCTGTGCTTGACTGGCAAGTCTTTCCCTTTCAGCTGTAATTTTGTTTCACTGTAACAATTGATACCTTCTATTTTCCTCCCAATGCAAAACAGAAACAGTTTACAAACTTTGAAAGCTGTCACAAAACAGGATTATTGTCCTGTAAGACAGCTCTGTTCAAGCACTTCACTCATCACTTAAATGAAACCATCTTACTTACTGCCTTTTGTCCACAGCGCTCTTATTTTCAAACTCGTCTTATGTACAGGTTCCACTTCCTTGTTTGTTTTCTCTGTGTTAAAGAGATCAGAGACACACAGTGAGGATTTAAAAGTCTAACCAGAGAAGCTGCCTTGTAGACTTTCTCAACTCTTCATATAGAACAGTGGTAAATTGTTCCTTTTTTGTTGGTTTTTTTTTTTTTTTTTAATAATTGAACATGGTTTGGAAAAGTAATTTTAGTATTGCAGCTACTATGAAGCATGTCATGTCTGACTATAAATCCTAGCTGCTCAGTTTAATCAGTTGTAGTACTGCTTGCATGGCAGCTTAGATTTCTTGTTATGTTCAAATATCCTGGTAATTGCTAGAAATTCCATGTTCTTTACAATTCAGTACTGCTTAAGCAAAACCTTTTACCTAGAATCAATATCTGATGTTTGTAATTGCTGAAGACTCAAAGTGAAAACAAATGCTTATTCTTTTCTTATTTTCTTTCTAAAATATTTGATGAGAGGACTACTGATAGATATCATAAGTCTAAGACAACAGAAGATGATTCATAGTCTTTGAATTACTTTAGAGCTCCTTTTGTTGTAATTTAGCTAGAACATTTCCCTTATGAGTGATACAGTCATGAGTACTGTTAAGGGACTGAAACACTGTTTCCACACAATTACTATAATTTCTGTAAATTTCCTGCACCGAAATTGTTGCTAAAAAGGATAGTTTAATTAAGTATAATCAAATATTTTCAAACTGTTGTCTTCATTCAAGAAAATCTCTCCTGGGCTACTGCTTGCTGACAGGGAACAGAATTACTGAACAGTGTTCCCGTACAAAAATGAGTGCAAGCCTACAGTGCCTAGTCAATTCCAATACATCTAGTTT